GCCCCAATCACTGAGAAAATGAGGGAATCGCCCCTGCGATGGTATGGACACGTGCTCCGCAGCAAGGACACATCAATGGCAAAGACTGCCATGGAATTGAAGGTGGAAGGCCGCCGGCCCCGTGGACGACCATTTACACGCTGGCTGGATCGGCTGAAAGACGACATGCACCTCGCAAAAGTCACCTGCCGAGACCCCGCAGACCGTACGAAGTGGAAAAATCGGTGCAAACAAGCAGACCCCACATAAGTGGGAAAATGTGAAGAAGAAGAGTATCTCTTAAAGCTGAGCTATCAGTTTCCCGAATCAGCTTCAGTGTTAACCACAAATTTTATTTCTCAATGTAGATTCCACAATAATGTGAAATATGTACTGGACAATTCCCTGCAATGCATTGAACACCTGAGCACTTTTTTATAAATTTATTGTATGAAGATTACCCATACACAATTCAAGAGTCTGCAAACCATTACTTCAAGGTTTTCAATTACCTTGTTATACACGTCCAATACCAGCAACCACAGACTTGACAGAAAAAAAACAAATAATTCTAAACAGAGGGCAAAAATAATTACAGGTGTTTTAAAAATATTACACCAATTTGAATTTTCTTCAAGCAGGACTAAGAAATATAGTCAACCTCAGGCACGCCACTCAAGAATGTCCTTTTGTTTGACAAATTTATTCTTCACAATCTATAATCTGCCTACCTATTTCAGAGGTACATATAACTGATAATGTTTCAGACTAAAGGAATATGGCCTTACACACTAAAATATGCTTTTAAACCAGCATCTGGCCTTGAGAAATATCACAGCATTAAGCACTATTACCCTCAGATTTGCTGTGTCTATGAAAAAGTAAATTTAAAGGGGGCAATGAAAAACAGATTGATTGATACTGCAATGATTTTTTTCATCTTCCCTTTATTCATCAAAGTCAAGGGTCTTTCTTTAACTGCTGCATTATCTAACCTCAATGCCATGCGGCGTGAGAGAGGCATTCAATCATACTCCATGATAGGTCACCTTTAGCAATTACATATCAAGTCAGAGACAACTGTATATGTTGCAGTACTCTTGGCGTCTTTTGCAAGCTTAGGATTAATGCTAAAACATTGTTTTTAAAAACAATAAATGGCAATGAAAAGGTTAGATTCCTAAGCATTCAGATAATGATAAAGGGTCTAAATTTTACAAAAGAATGAAACAAACAATACTGTCGATAAATGTCATATAAACGTTGGACACTAATACATTTTCTTTATACAAACACTGCAGTGACAGCATTGTGTCCTCCCAATGTTTGGAGTAAGTAAGTGTATATGCTTTCTGATTAATTAATCTTGCTCTTGATCTTATCTGCTAGCTTCTCTCAACATGGTTACTTTCTTTTTCATCAATTACCCCAGGTTATTTAAATGTGTAGCCATGCTATGGAGGTCTGGAAGGCAGTAGTTTTCTCCAATTGTCATTCATTTTAAATGTTTTGAAAATTTGAAATTCAGCTTTAGAAGATATGCTTTTTACATCACTATTTATAGACAGAAGCAAAAATGTTTCAAGTTTCTTTCAAAAATGAAAACTGTATCACTTGCCACACAGCCTGAAGGACAACAATGCATAAGAGCAAAATGGATGAATTAACAAAAATAGAGAGGGAGCTAAGAAAAGCACATCCACTGTCCATATAATCAGAGCAATTGAAAAGCACACTGCTCAAAATACTGCAGAATCCAAAAATGCTATAAAGTATGTGCTATTTGATCAACACTGTGCTCAGTCAAATTCAAACATCATACAATGCACATACTGTAGTAATGCAACTAAAATCACTACAAACATGTGGATTGCAAACGATATAAACAGATTCTTTGTCACCACATGCATATCAAGCAGTTCAGAAATAAATGATAATGTACTGTACTTAGAAATTAGGCTAGAGATCCTTTATCCACAATCAGTAAGTCATTATGTTACAAGCCAATAGATACTATCCTAAGATCTCAGCTTAGCATGGCCCTTACAGTTCCAAAAGCTTTAAATTAAAGGAAGCCCC